AGCATCTCTTTGCCTATCTTTCTTATATGCAATTATATGTTACTTACACTATGGCTAGGCTTTTTTTTTAATTGAAAGTTTTACAAATTTAATACAATATAAACCCCTCCCACCCCATCCCACCCCTTCCCCACTTCCCAGAGCTGATTACAGGGTAACAAATAAACAAACATAATTTAACTAACATTAACCAACTATACTATCAATCAAAACCATAACACACTTTAACTCCTTTTCAAAAACAAATGTTAACAAATTATAAACTCAAATAATAGTGTAATTAAAACTATTAATAATTATCTAAAATCTAATCATATGCAAGATAATACTTTTCAGTTTCATATCTCTTTTGAATGTAATCAATCCATCTTCTCCAAACTATAATATATTTTTCTTGTGAGTGGTCCTTTAAATAGGCAGAGATTTTCACCATTTCTGCTAAGTTAGACACCTTAAGTATCCATTCTTCCATAGTAGGCAGAGAGTTTTTCTTCCAATATTGCCCCACTAATAATCTTGCAGCTGTTATAAGATTCAACATCAAGTTGATTTCTTTAACATCAAAATCTACAATAATACCCAACAAAAATAACTGCGGAATAAACTTTATCTTTCTCTTAAAAATCTTTTGAATATTCCACCAAATCTTAATCCAAAAAGCTTTTATATCTCTACAAGTCCACCAGATGTGAAAATAGGTTGCATCTAAGCTTCCACATCTCCAACATTTGGGCTGTAAATTCGGATGCATGCGGGACAACTTTTGGGGATCCAAATGTATGGCTAGGCTTTTAACTGACTCATCCCAGGCCTCAACCATTATCTACTGCCATCTGTTACCATCTATGTGTCATGGTTCCAATAGATGAAAACCATCAAAAGAACTTCAAGGCAAAAATTCTTCCTTAAAGAATATTTTATTCAGGAAACAAAGTATCAGCACTACATAGTTGAACCCAAAAACTAAATTCCCTTTCCCCAGATACAAAATAACAAAGTGCAATTCCCATCCCCAATAAGCTGTCATAAATCACATTCTCCAATTAGCCTTAAACGCAGGCTTTCTCCCAAGCTCCTCAGCCTGCCAAAACGTTATCAGCTCGTCTTTGGGTTTCCACAAAGCAGCGTTATTATTATGGCTAGCTGAGCTCAAGCATTTATCCCACTCCCCTTTCTGCACATGATTTCTAAATATAGAGAAAAGCATGTTAAAAGTAAGAGAAAATGGCTGCAATTTTCATCAGTTGTCAGAGTGGGAATATCCAATGTTTGTAGCGTTGATATCCCGCCCCCTTTTACAAAAATGATAAATCCTGCATTCAAACAAAATTATAGGTTAGGAGTTGCCTCTCGGTTCAGTAGGGGGCTTTTCATAAAATTTACTAATAAGCCTGTCAGCTTTTACATCACTAGACTTTACCCATGTGGCTTCAGACAATGGATATCCTTTCCACTACACTAAGTACTGTAATTTTTCCCTTAAAAACCCTAGAATCAAGAATATGCTTCACCTCATAATGGGTCTGTCCAGCTACCACCAGAGGCTGGTGCCTTCTTATGGGAAAGTCGTAAGGTAGAACCCTGAAAAGGTTTCAGTAGGCTACAATGGAACACAGGGTGAAGCTTTAACTCCACCATGATTGGGTTAATGATGGGGAAGGGACCTAGGTACTATGGTCCCAACTTCTTACTAGGCAAATTAAGTCGTAAATATTTTGTGGATAAGTAAACTTTTTCCCCAACCTTGAATGACCTTTGGGGAGCCCTCTTTTTAATCTGTTTGTTTTTTATATGTCTCAAAAGCCTTTTTCAGAGCAATTTTCTTTTTGTCCCAAACCTCCTCCCACCCCTTCACCCACTGGTCAAGCATTTGGGAAGCAGAAGGTCCCTGAGGATATTTGGGTATTGGGTTGAATTCTTTTCCTGTGGCCACTTTAAAAGATGTAAAACCGGTGCTGCTGTGAACAGAGTTATTGTAAGCCACCTCTGTGAATGAGAGGAGGTCAGTCCAGTTCATTTGCTGATAATCCACATAGCACCTGAGATATTGCTCCACCATTGAGTTCGCTGAAAAAGCCCCTTTCGTAGACAGGTGAAAAGCTGACAACAGTCCTTGCGATGAGCCAATTAACTTGAGGAAACCCCTCTAGAACTTGGCTGTAAATTGTACCCCTCAGTCTGAGGTTATCCGCTTGAGCATGCCGTGCAGCCTGTAAATGTGCTTAAGAAACATCTTGGTTAGTTTCTGGGTTGACGGGAGTCCTTTAGAAGCGACGAAGTGAGCCTACTTTGAAAAAAGATCTATCACAGTCCAACTCACCATATTCCCCCTACTTTCAGGTAACTCCACTATAAAATCCATAGCAATTTCTTCCCATAGTTGGGAAGGTGTCCGCAACCAGTTGTAATAGTCCAGGGGTTTTTCCTGGAATTCTTTTCATGGTGGCACATACAGCACAGCTCTTGACATAGTTCTCTATGTTCCATTTCAAACCCGGCCACGAAAATTGTCGACAAACTAGATGCAGTATTTTTAAGTAGCCAAAGTGTCCAGCTTGTTTCACATTGTGACTGTGCTGGAGAGCGTTGAGGTGGAGAGTTTCGGACAAATACAACTTCCCCCCTTTGTAATCCAATCCATCCCTTCACATCAAGGAGGTTTGATTGTCCTTCAACCATCAATCGTTGAGGAGTTCCTGTTTTAATTTCCTCACTCCAGGGTCATTGGGGTTTGGGACTCTCGAAGATGGGGCTCTTTGTGGCATTAGTTGAGAAGCAGCTTGCTGTGTAGATATGATTGCTTCATTAACCTCTTCATGCTGGCTCTTGTATTGATGCAATCTAGATAACACGTCAGCTAAAAAGTTTTTTTCCCCTGGTATGTACTTCAGGGTAAAGTTAAATCGGTTAAAATATTGCACCCACTGTACTTATTTTGGAGACAGCTTGCGGGGAGTTTTCAGTGCATCTAGGTTTTTGTGATCAGTCCATACTTCGAAAGGCATCTTGCTCCCTTCTAGGTAGCGCCACCAGTTTAATAGAGTCCAACGAATTGTAAAGGTTTCCTTCTCTCACACTGTTCACCTTCTCTTGCAGTTTGTGAACTTTTTCAAGGTGTAGGCACAGGGCTGCAGGACCCCTCATGGTTCTTTTGCAATAATACAGCTCTGACATCTATGTCGCTAACATCGGCTTGAATCATAAAGGGCTTTCCCGGACAGGGATGCTTTAGGACCTGCTTGACCGCAAATAGTCTTTTCAGATTCTCGAAAGCAGTTTGACAATTCATAGTCCATGTCAGTGGCTGGCCCGGTTGCAGCTTTCCCCCATCTTTGCTGGTTTTTAACAAGTCCATGAGGGGTAAAGCAATTTTGGCAAACGAGGGGATGAATTGTTGGTAAAAATTGGTGAACCCCAGAAAGCTTTGAAGCTGTTTGCGGATCTTTGGGGGTTGCCATTCAATTACGGCTTTCATTTTTCCAGGATCCATTTCAATGCCCTCACTGGAAATTCTGTAGCCTAGATAATCCAGTCGGGTCTGATGTAACTCACACTTCGATAGTTTAACATATAGTTTGGCATTCAACAACTTCTTTAACACTTCTTGCACTAGCTTCATGTGGTCAGCCATATTCATGCTGTATATCAGGATATCAAGATACACCAAAAAACCCTTGTACAAATGATCATGTAGCACCTGGTTGATCAGCTGCATGAAGACAGCTGGAGCCCCTGTAGTCCAATGGCATAACTTTGCACTGATAGCTACCCATGGGACAGTTAAAAGCAGTCTTCCATTTATCTCCTTTTCTTATTTTCACTTGGTAATATGCCTCTCTTAGATCCAATTTAGTGAAGAGGGGGAGGGGTACTTGTTTTCTATGCTCACAGCATTTAACCCCTTATAGTCCACGCAGAGACTATAGTGAACACTGGAGCCCCCAACTGGGATTTGGCCAGCTCAATGAATCATCTTGCTAGGTTTCTGTCCACATATTGCTGCAGTTCATCCATTTCGAGGGGGGTTATGGTGTATATTCTCGGCTGCAGGAGTTTAGCTCCCGGTAATAGGTCAATGGCACAGTCATTGGGCCAATGGGGTGGTAGGATTTCGCACTCTTTCTCACTAAACACCTCCACTAGATCCCAGTATTCGCTGGGGATGAGTGACCCACCTGGTTGTGGCAGGGTAGCTATCTTTGCTAACTCGATAGATGGCCTAGATTCTCCAGTAACGTCAGCGAATTAAGAGGGGGTTTGGTCCCTATAGGTAATCTCACAGTCCTCATTCCCTTTTCCCACCAAATAAAAGGTTACCATTTGTCTAACCAGGCTAGACTTAGAATCACAGCCTCAGTCATCTTCGGAGCCACCATAAAGCGAATGAACTCCCAATGTTCACCTATTTTAAGTATATCAGCTCTGTCAATTGTGTGACTAAAGTTCCTCCCATTAGAGAGCCATTGGCTTGTTCAAATCTCACAGGCTTGGACAGCAATCCATTTTAAGAACAAGTGGCAAGCTAATAAAGCACTGAGAGTACCCCGAGTCTACTAGCTCTCTCAAATCACCTGACTTCTAAATACAGGAAAAAGAATGTTAAAAGCAAGAGAAAATGGCTGCAATTTTCATCAGTTGTCAGAGCGGGAACATCCAATGTTTGCAGCATTGACACTGTGTACAATAGTAATAGTGAAGTGCAGGAAGTTAAAAGATTTCTGGAATTTCAGAACTTCTGATACAAACAGAAACAGTGACATGCCAAAGTTTCAACTTAATATTGTCAGTGTGTGTTCCCCCCATCCCCAAATTAAAAGCAACATATAATAACTGATAGATAACTATGGGTTGTGTATGGGCTTCAGGGTTTCCATTATTTGACCTGGGATGTACTGAACTGGTTGATAATCAAAGACATATTCAAATATTTAATAGAATCAGAACCAAGCCAGGGATAACAGCTGTAATTTTTTTCCCTTTCTGTGTTATTTCTTTTGCAGCTGTTCAGCTTTGTTTCTCTGCCCACCGATGTCCTAGAAATAGAGGTGAAGGACAAGTTTGCAAAAAGTCGACCTATCATTAAACGTTTTCTGGGAAAGCTTTCCATGCCAGTACAACGGTTACTAGAAAGACATGCCATAGGGTAAATCTTTGTAACATAATTTTCTCTTGTTTATGAATCACTAAGGAGCAAAAGGAGAGTGATGGTTGCCCTTGCAATAACTCAGTAGGGGAGGAGGAATCCATAATTTAATCTCAGTTGATTGCCTTACTTTGGATTACTATTTTAAATATTTTAATGGCAAGTTAATCATAGAAGAATTAACTTAAAAGACATTCAATCTTCTGCTTACTATAAAATCTTCAATAAATTCGGATGATAGTCTAGATCCGTGATGGCGAACTTATGGCACGTGTGCCACAGGGGCCATGCAGAGCCATCTCTGGTGGCACACATGCCATTGCTGGGCCGAGCTACTCCCTCCTCCACTCCACACATGCGCATATGCAGCTCTCTACGTGCAGCTCTCCATGCATGCGCAGTCTGGGAATAGGCAAGAGGCTATAAAAGGAACAATTTTCGGTGGAAGCAGCATTTGCTGTAGAGAGCGAACAAGGGAGTGGACAGCGAGCGAGTGAGCATGAGCCGACAGTGGTAAGTTTCAGCAGCTGGCCACGCAGGGGAGGAGGAGGAGGGCAGTGGGGGCAGCAATGGCAGTGGCAGCGAAGGGGGTGGAGGGCGGCCTACCTGCTTAAGCTGCCTTGCCTCGGCCTCGGGCTATGGCGGCAGTGAAAGGGGTATGGGGCGGCCTACCTGCGATGATGGCTTCCCTGCTTCAGGGTCCTCTCCTCCTTTTGCGGCCTCTGCCCGGAGGCTCCCACCCCTCTCTCCCCTTCGGGTGTGTCAGACTGATTGGAGGAAAATTTCTGCAGCCGCGAAGATGGAAGATGGGTTGCTGCCTCCGCCATTCTATGCTGTAGGCATCCTAAGCGTAGCTGGCGTGTTGCCCGGACGAGGCCGGGGCCAGCATCGTCGCAGTTGCTGCGCCTGAGGGTCGGCCTCTTTCTGCACCACCAATTTCCCTCCCCAACATGTGAGCTGGGTATCCAAGAGGCAGCAGTTCCACGTGTGTCCCTGTGAACGAGTACGCTCCTGCCCTCCCAGGCAAGCAGAGTCATGGCGGTTGCCCGCCTTTGCTCTTCTGCCGCAGATGCCATGGCCCCGTTTGCCTGGCAGGGTGAGGATGGACTCACGTACGGGGATGCACGTGAGGCTCTTCCTCACTTTTCATGCCGTGCCAGGGGTTGGACTGGGTTGGACTGGGCGCAGGCAGCTGCATTCCATTTCTCCATTTGCTTCTTAGCCTTCGCTACGTGTTTGTGGGACAAAAAAAAAGTTCCATTAGATTTTCTAACTTCTCACAAAATCTTGCAAGAAGTTAGTCTGAGGGAACTTTTTTTTTACCAATAGTCCCACAAACACATGGTGAAGGCTGAGAACTGAACGGAGAAATGGAATACAGCTGAAAGGCAAGTTAATAAAAAAACAGCAAGGCATCTGGGCAGAGGTGGCAACCTTATCCTTCATGGTGGTGGAAGGGTTAACGACGGGCGCGGGGGGGCCCGGGAAGAGCTACGCAAAGCAGGTGGAGGGGAGTCCGAGTAGATTGCAGGCACCGCTCCTCACCTCCTCTGTGCTGCTGCAGCCATTGTGCTGCCGCAGCCGCAGTCCCACCTGGCTCTGCCGTTGCTTTGCCACTGCCCTACTCCCACCCTGGGCAGTGCCTCTGCCCTGCATGGCTTCTCCACTTGTGCCCTCTGTGAGTGTTGCAGGATGGTGCAAATGTCGTGCAATGGGATGTGTATCTGGCAGCTCAGGTTGGGGCTAGTCAGATTCCCCCTGTGGGGTTGTCTCCGAGGGTGACGGCGGCAAATGTGGCTCGATCCTCAGCAAGCCCCGTTTGCCACCTCCTGCCCAATGCTGCGGCCATGAGGCCACAGAATAAGCCAGGCGGTGGTAAGGAAACGGGTCAGGACAGCGGAGAACGGTGCTCTGTGAGGTTTGGGTCCAACATACATGGGGCTGCTGCCTCTCTTTTCGTGCCATGCCAGGGCTGGGCTGGACATGGAGCCTCCATGCTGCTTTTTCCTTGCAGACATTGTGAGTGCCCACTCCGCATACCCCTTGTCCTGGGGCAGCTGCCACCATCCCATGCTCTCCAGCCCATTGCCAGTCAGCTGGCGCGCCGAGCTTGGGCCTCGGGCAGATGGAGGCTGGAGGGGAGTGAGAGCCATGGCTGCCTGCCTCCTCTGCCTGAGGACATGTGCATGGGAGAGGCGCTGCCTGGCTCGGTAAGCCACAGTCTGCCTGCAGAAGGAGGAGGAGGATGGAGAGGGCTGGCTGGGGACAGGCGCAGCACTGTCCACAGGGGGAATCTGACTAGCCCCAGCCTGGAGGGGGGGAGAGGCTGAGGGAACCCGAAGGGAAGCATCCCGGCACGCCTGGCTAGCTGGCGACAGGCTGGAGAGCAGCAGACAGGGGCAGCTGCCCCAGGACGAGCTGTAGGTGGAGTGGGTGCTCCTGATGTCCGCGGGAGAAGAAGCAACAAGGAGGCTCTGCGGCCAGCCCAGTCCAGCCTAGCCCCGGCATGGCAAGCAAGGCAGCAGCCCCACATGTGTCCCTGAGCACGAGCACACCCCTGCCCTGCCCGGCAAGTGGAGCCACGACATCTGCAGCAGAAGAGCGCAGGTGGGCAGCAGAAGGCACGAGGAGCACCAATTCCAGTACAGCCCCTCCCCCCTCTCCTCCTCCCCTCCCTTGGAAGAGCTTTGGGGCTCAGAAGCCTCCCTCCATGCCCCCCCACTCTCCAGGGAAGAAAACCATCACAAGACAATTTTTTTCCTTGTCGCTTTTTGGAGTTTTCATCCTGCTTTCATGAGATGGCAGCGTTTGGGAGGGGGTGTAGCTTCCCCCTTCCCCCCAAGCCATCAGCTGAGCAAGACACTTTCCAGAGACCCCTTGGATCTCCCCAACCCTGCCCAGCCCCCACAGGCATCCCTCCCCAACATCAAGCTGGCCACGCCCACCTGGCCACACCCAGTCTGCCATGACGACCCAGCAGGCCACGCCCACCCAGCACCCAGCGATACATAAGTGGATTTTGGGTTGCAGTTTGGGCACTCGGTCTCTAAAAGTTTCGCCACCACTGGTCTAGATGATAGCCTAGATAACAGTCTAGCCTTTTAGATATGTCAATGAAAAGAAAATCCATTATATTTTATTCTATCTTCTCTGTGTGTTAAATTATTGCAGAATGTTAAACCTAACAATCCACTTAAGAAAAGCTATATAATCAAACATTTATTCTCTGATTTTTACATATATGCTATAAAGCCATTTCTAAAAGTGAAAATAATTCAATTTTGATAGTGATTATATTTTAGTACATATTATAATTAATAGAAATGTATATAATTTGGTTTCAAGCATGGTTGGTCACTCTAGGCATTCTGTATGTAGGACAGGGATGCCATTTGGTTGAATGTATTATGTTATGTTTACCCATTTACAAAACAATCAAGGCCTTACCACACCTCACTGTGCAGTACATAGTGGCTTGCACTTCTATAGGACACTGATGTATTGTATTAATAGTCACAAGGACAATTGAATCTTATGCATAATGGCTCATATAATATTACACCCTTTCAAATTTATAAAACATGGCTTGTGCTCTACTTCTATAATAGAAGCTATTAATTCTGAAAAGGAAATCATACTAGTGTAAGGCTGGTAATACGTTTACTAGAACCATGTTTCTATAGATGAGAATGTTGTGACTGGCAAAACTACTTCTATTCATCCTTTTGGATTTCTGTAAGTCACTGTCAGCACAAATGTTGATATTATCCTCTTGGCATTGATCAAATTTATCTGCTACTTTCTGGGTACACTTTTGGGAGGCTTAAGTATTAGATTTCAGTTCAGAACTAATCATTGCCCTATGATGTACTTTCACAAGATTTTTACAAATATTAATATGAAGAATGAAGAATATTAATTAATAATTTCTACGAAGCAGTTGCCACAATTATACCATATATAAAAATGTAATGCTCTTTTTATTTATTTTTTTTCCAATAGAGACAGGGTTGTTAGCTACACACTGGGACGAAGGCTACCAACAGAACATGTCAGTGGCCAGCTGCAGTTTAGATTTGAGATAACTTCTTCAATCCACCCAGGTATTATTTATTTATTTATTTGATTCCCACCTTTATTCCTTTTACAAATAACTCAAGGCATAGAACTTATGAGCACGCCTTCGTCCTCCTATTTTCCCATGATATTTTCCTTTATCAAGTAGGCTTGGCTTCACTTAGGAATTCACAAATTCTGATTCATGTAACTTTCTTTTCAAACAAAGGAAAAATGAATCAACAGATTGATAGGTTATGTGGAACTGAAGTTGATTTTCTTTTTTTCCCCCAGGTCTGTGAAGATAAATTGATGATAGGGACCGAAAAAATCTTCTGTGTCATATTTTAATGACATGTTGAGTTCAGCCTTTCAAACTGATTGTCAAGCAATTTTTGAAAATAAATTTGTTAAGCAAAGTTTTGCCTCCTAAATGGGCATTATAGATCATAAAAGATTCCTAGTTTTCTACATGCCTGAAACATCTGATAGCCTGCAGTTTTTGTTTAATCCTATTTTAGATGTTTTGAATGATACATTGCAATTTCAAATGCTTTCTGCACTTTAACTTTCCATCACTGTAAAATTTCAAATACTATACTTACCAGCTAATGCGATACAGTAGAGTGAGTATTGGACTTGGAAAGAAGAGACTAGAGATTACAGGTCTCCTTAAGTCTGAAATTCACTTGGTAATTTTGGGAAACCTCTGTCATTCTACCTGACTTCTTCCTAGACTTATTCTACAGACAAAAGATTAAACACTTGGATGAAGAATGGAATGCAAATACCACATTCAGTTCTGTGTCATAAGATAATAAGAGAATGATAAATGATAAAACAATAATAAATTACATATTTGTATAATTATTTCCAGATTTTTAATTTATTAATGTTATGTGCCATTCAAAAATGATTTGAAAGAAGTATTGTAGACCTGTGAGCCTGAGACAATACCACCACTCCTGCCATTCATTAAAAATCTCTTTTTTTAGAAACTTTGAATGGGAATAAGGTGTGGGGAGGGAGACATAACTGCTTTTAAATTAATTCCTTGTGCAGAAATATGAAAAAAGAGTTGTTTGAATGAATAGTACTGTACACATGTTCACATGAAATCCAGAAAAATATCTTTTAATCATCTTCAAAAGATTCAATTCAAGTCCTGTAATTTACTGTATATAGTTGAACCTGGATGAATGAGCAAGAAGTAAAATCATGGCCCAGGATTCTAATCATAATCATCAGGGATTCTGTCTTTTTGCAACAGGGAAAAAAGGGCCTTCTTCTATAAATATTAAAATATATATAGTAAGCCTATAAACAAATATAGGAAAGTGTAATATTGATAAAAAATTATTTTAAATAGTTAAGATCATAATACTATTTTATTTATTATATATAAACATAAAAATAATAAGGATCACATCTTTGCAGTCATACCTGCATTTTAAGATAGCCTACATAATAATTGAGTAAAGGTACAGGTAATCCCTGAATTATGAACGTTCACTTAATGCTCGTTTGAAGTTAGGCAACAAACGCCCCCTAGTGTTTACAAGCAAGTCCCAAAATTATGAATATTGCAGCACCAGATCAGTATTTTGCCCTTAGGAATGACTGCAGAGGCTCTGCAACGTTCACTCTATTACCCTCCTTCTCTCTCCACAACTGCTTCCCCCTCCCTTCCTGCAGCACTGGATACATTCACCTTGCAAAATCTATCTCCTCTCTTCCGCTGTTTCTTTCCCTTTGAAGCAGAGGAGAGTCAACTTAGAAATGCTTTTCATGCCAACAATGGGTGCCGTAATATTGTGCGAGTTCAAACACAAATTCTCTGCAAAAGACATCATGGTCCCCAGAAGCTTCCATTGGCAGGGGGGAATTGTTTGCTTCTTTTGCATGCAAGTGTGGAATTGGAGTCGGCTGGACACAGGAACCAATGCCTTCCATTGCCCAGGTGTGCTGCTCACTCGTGTGCAGCAGCCTTAGTTTGAGGGCAGAAATGAAGCCTTCAACTGAGTGGGGAGGTATCACAGAGCCAGGCCCCTTGCACCTGTGTCCAAGTCACTGCTACCAATGTGCAGCCATGATCTCCTCTCCCCAGCCAGCTACCCACACTGCCCGACCTACTCCTTGCCTGACCAACTGGCTGGCACAAATCCTGACTGCTCTTCTCCTTGTCATTCTCCCCACTCAAGTGGTGACAGCAGCTTGAGTTTCTTGGCTCCATCTGAAACAAAGAAAACAGAGATGCAGTAGTAGGATTGCTGTCAAGAAGACCCAGATGCACTGCTCACTCGCATCCACTGGCCTTATTGAGAGCAATCCTGCTGCTGTGCCTCCGCTTTTTTCCACTCAGACAGAGTCGAGAAACTCAGCCACTGCCGCCGCTTAAGTGGGAAGGACGACAAGGAGAAGAGGGGTCAGGATTTGTGCCAGCCGGCCCACCAGGCAACGAGTAGGTCAGGCAGGATGGGTGGGTGGCTGTGAGGAGGGATCATGGCCACTCAAGTGGCTGTCATACTTCTGCCAACGGCTTGGGTTTCTTGGCTCCGTTTGAGTGGAAAAATGTGGAGGCACTGCAGCGTGATTGCTCTCAATAAGGCCAGTGCATGTGAGCAAGCAGCACACCCGGGTCTTCTTGAGAGCAATCCTGCTGCTGTCTCCACTCCACTCCAATCATGGCCACTCAGGTGGCTGCCACCACCAGTGGCTTGGATTCTGAAGTGCCCCTTAGGCACTGAAACATTTTTTAACCACACAGAGACCTGACAGAGACTGCAAGCTCTGTATGCATTCTGCTTCATTTCTAAGTGTGCATTGGAAGCCATGCAGAGCTTCCAGTCCCTGTCAGGTCTCCATTCAGATAAAAAGTGTCGCAACACCTATGGAGTGCTTCAAAATGCAGGAATTTGCTGTGTTTTGAAGCACTTCATAGACGCTGAAACATTTTTTATCCGAACAGAAACCTGACAGAGACTGCAAGCTCTGCATGGCTGCCAACGCGTACTTAGAAACAGAGCAGAAAGTTCCATTTCTCAAGCACCCCATTCCAGGCATATGGAGCTTCCAGTCTCTGTCAGGTCTCCATTCAGTTAAAAAGTGTTTCAGAGCCTATGGGGCACTTCAAAATGCAGGGATTAACTTTCAAGGTCTCCATCCTGGTGAAAATTGTTCCGCAAGTGGCAGAAAGGAGTTGGGGGTGGGAGCAGGAGATAGTTCAGGCTCCCATTCTCTGCAAAAGAGGATCAGTGCCTGAAGTCATGTAATATTACGGGCACCTGGGAGCTTCCATCAACTCTCCCTCAAAAGCAGAAGCTGCGGCAGAGAGGAGATGGATCTTTTCAAGGTAAGTGAGTCCGGCATCGCAGGAAGGGAGGGGGAAGCATGAGGTATCTTAGTGGGTCGGGAAGGCCTTGGGGACCTGTTCCATTACTAGGACCCCTTTGGCCTTCCCCATCCTGAGATACCTCATGTGCACTTAATGCCGTGAGCATCTTAATGAGCAGGGAGTGATCTCATTCAAGGTACGAGATTCCCACAAATTCTCGAGTTATGAATGGAATGGGCAGGCTTAATATTTTAAGCATTTTAGTCTATATATGATATTCAAAATTATTTGATTTAACAAATGCATATAATTCTCTTGTTACTAATGTATATGAGGTGCAGCTTAATTCTAAGCTATAATTAACAGATATTCATATATATTTATGTAGGGTTGTTGAAGTGCCAGGTTATATTATTTACACTCAATCTTACTTATATGTCATGTTTCTTTTCTTTTTGCTTCTAGCAGATGATGAAGAGGTCTCTACTGCTATAGACCATGAATCAATTGAACTTCAAGAAAGCCCCATTAACACCTCAGCAGGCAACAGTACAGAGACCTCAGAAAATGCAGCTTCAGAAAAGCTAAATGAATGTCCACTAGTATGCATCAGTGTGGGCAACTCTACCTTGAACTGCTCCTTCAAAGAAGAGCTAGCAGGAAATAGAGAGAATGATGCTGTACCAGCAGACACAGTTAATCTCTCAGAATCTATTCCAACTGAAATAACGCCTTCCCCAAGTGCTGTGGATCTCAGCGAACAACGACCTTTGCTGGCAAGCACTCATCCGGAGTCTGAAGTTAGAGAAAACAACAAAGTTAATTCTGTTACTCAGGGGGATAGTGACATCTTTATCAGCATAGAAGCCTTATCTATTGATGAGGTGAGTGGAGATGTTCCCATTACCAAGGATTTAGAGAAGAATCAGGATGATGAAGGGGCTTCAGCCCAAGAGGATCAAGATGAGAATGATGATGAAAAGGAGAGCAAGCTACAATTAAGGACCACAGTGAAAAGAAAAAACAGGCCTTGTTCCTTGCCTGTGTCAGAACTTGAAACAGTGATTGCATCTGCTTGTGGGGAGCCTGAGACTCCTCGTACACACTACATAAGAATACACAATCTCTTGCACAGTTTGCCTTCTGCCCAGTTGAGTAGTGATGATGGAGAAGGGGAGGAGGAACAACAAGGCAGTGTAATAGAGAATGACGAGGAACTGACAGTGAGGGAAGTATCTGAGAAAGATTTAGTTAGTGAGACTGAAACAGTGTTGGCTGAACCTCCTCAGGAAAACTCAGTAGAAGAGAACTTGGTCCGGGGAACTGTTCTGCGCAGCACCTCCACTGAATGCCTTGCTGATTTAAATGAACAAACATTGGATAATGAAGGGGCAAGAACTGAAAGTGACAGTGAACTGAGTCCTAGACCAAATGGTGACCATGAGTATGAAATGTGTGACACATCTTGTTATAGTACTTCTTGTTATAGCACTTCCTGCTACAGTACCTCCTGTTACAGCACTTCCTGTTACAGCACTTCTGGCCATGAGAGTGCCAACCGATTCTCAAGCCATACTAGGTTCTCTTCTGTTGACAGTGCAAAGATTTCTGAGAGCACAGTTTTTTCTTCACAGGATGATGAAGAGGAAGAAAATAGTGCTTTTGAATCAATGCCAGATTCAGGTCAAAGCCCTGAGTTGGACAGGGAACAGCTGGATAGCTCTGCCCATTGGCCTGAGGAATTGGTAGTTCCCACAACAAATCTACAGGGAACTGCAGAAACTATAGACTCTCCAGTAGCAGGCCCAAGCATCAGAAGAGAAGGTTAGATTTGGAGGAAGACGAGCATGAATATCTTAAGTTAGGCAGAAATAATAAGTAATAAGGGTCTTATCATTTAGAGGAATTTCTATTTAATATAGGATTTAAGATTTAAAAATCTACTTTTAAATGCAGGTGTGGGAATTGAATTTTCTTTTTTATTGTGCTTTCATGATAATTTACATAGGAAATGAGCTTCCAAATATATGGCATGTAGTAAGTGAGAAAAATAAAGTTGCCACTTTGCAGTCCGTACACTACTAAGCATTTATCATTGAGTATCAGGTGCTGCAGATCACAAGATTTCTGCATTATTCCTAAACATTTTTTCTCAGCTCCATGAGTCCTTCTCTTTCTTTCTCTCATAATGAGTAATACACCTCAGGTGATAAAGGGCAAATTTAACCCTGGACTAGAGAAGAAAATAATACTCTTAAGAAGCCACCATATTCAGATATTTTCAAATATAGATGGGCTATTTACAATCACCAAGCTGTATAATTTTCTCTTTATTTACTTTGGACTTGAATATATGCTTTGTATAGGATATGTTCCCACATCACCTTAGCAATGCTGTATCCTCCTTTATTATGCTGGTGCCCTCCATGTAAGACACATCAGACTCAGCAGTAGCGTCACGCTGGCTGGAATTCTAACTTAACAAAAGTTAATGCCAGCTGAAGAAGACTGCATGTATATCCTCACCTGGTGTTTTAAATTATTCTGATTTGCATGTGGGGATTTCATCAGCTAGGACTCTGTGTTTTAGCAGCTAAATTTCCTTTTTCAAGTACAACAAAATTTTCCCATAACTTGTTCTAGTTTCATGGCAGTTCATCTCTATGAAACAACATAAAATGCATGAATTAAGACTTATAGTAGTGAAATACTGTTATCCCTAATAACAATGAAAATTGAATGTTTAAATTTAATTATACAGCTTCTCTTTTCCTCCAGTTTTCTGTCCCTTCCAGCTTAATGTCTCTTGCAATACCCATACCCTAAAAAATTCTAATTAAAATTTCACTGAATTCAAACATGGTATATGGGATTTCTCTTTGTTATCCTTATTTTGTGGCACTGTGCATCAAGCTTATTCTCTTGATGTCTATTTTATTGACAGAAGGGGAAGATACATTCTAAAAATATTTTTTTAAAAAAATATTTTCCTATAGTGCCTCATTTACAGATAGTCACATTATATAAGCCAAGGAAATGCAGAGTTGAACTGATGCTGGCTGTAGCAGCAGTAACAATCTGGCAAACAATTGTCTTCTGTCATTGTATGTGGCTGATGAACTAGATCTAGCAACTAGTTGAGGAAAAGCAAATGCATTTCTTTGTTTACCTGAGCCTCCTTTACAACTAATCTTTACTGCATCACTATCCCATGTTCTAAGAGTTAATCCTATGGTAGGGAGAAATTACAGCATGGCCTCCTTATAAATCCAGTTTTGCAGGATTCTGGAGTGCGATGTTCTCAGAGAATACATCCCCATGTATAGACCACTTCTCCCTTTCTGCTTCTGCTTATCCCCCATTCCCACACAGATACTTAGCGTAGGGAAGAAACAAAATGTGAAGAATTCAGAACATTCTTTATCACCTCATGATTCTGTTGCTCACTTATGACATATGAACAGTGAGGAAAAGAAAAACCAATCTCCTGTTGGTTGTCTATCTTAACAGAATTCAGTGTTGACACCAAATCCAGTCTAATAAAATATTTCAGGTAGGACAGAAGCCTGGTGGTTGGAAACTGAGCAATCCCTAAATAGAATGCTTATTTTGGTGGAAATTGGAACAAATTTTAAAATAACAGTTCATGTAAAAAAAAGTCCAACTCAGTATTTTTAGGCAAGGCAGATAATTAAAAACAGCAATAAATATTTCCATTTAAATTTGAAATTTGCTTTGTAATTACAATCATTAAAGTTTTAAATATTCTATATATTTAAAACAATTTTAATGGTTGGTCTTGACTATATCCTAGATAAAGCAATGTTTGTTTATTAAAATGATTGTATTTAAAACTAGTTATTTATGTCAGTAGCATATGTCATAATATTTTTGACATAAAAATAATTAAGTTAAATAATTACATTTTGCACTCATCCAAAATAATGTAAAGTTCTGTTGGTGGAGCCACAACCATTTAATGTTTCCCTCTTTTTTATGCTGTACAGTTTGTTATATGATATAATTAAATAGAAGGAAATGACAAACAGTGGAATAAACATGGTAAATCTTTGGATCTGATAAAATTAGGCAAAGCCAAAAGTACCATAGTACTTGAGCCCAGAAGGTATTATACTTTCATATTCATATTCATATTTTCATATTCATCCTCTTGAGGAATGGTATAGTGCCATAGAATAGCTGAAAATAGCTTTGAAAGGTTTCAGCAAGCTTTTGCTCTGTTCTTAAGGGCAAAAACACCTGTGCTAAATGTTAGTATTCACAAACTGTCCTTCTGGATGTTATATTATTTCATATGCATCTCAGGAAGCATCCTACCTTTGTTCTTCTGTGTTCTTTTTTCCCTTCTTTTAGCTCGTTCTTTCTTTTTGACTGATTTCCTCATTTTCTATGTTCTGCTTATGAAATTGAAAACTGACTAATATTCCTCAATAGGTATCAAATGATAACCCATTGATCCTCCAAAGATCTTTCTTGTTTTTATATTTCAATACTTCCCTGCTATATAAATATTTCTAGATTGTTAATACATCAAACTTTTTATCAATCCTTATGAGCCCCAAACCTTCATATCATATGTGTTTATCACAGTGCATCTGCAATCAGTGTGTGGAAACTTTGAATGAATATGACCTGTATTTTTTATCCATAGGTGATTGCCCTTTGCTCCATAATTCTCAGCCAATCAACCAGCTTCCTGCACTGAGACCTGATCACCATCAGTACCCAACTGTTGATGAGCCTCTTCCACCAAGTAAGCTTTAGATTTTATATTATTTAATTCAACTCAGTCCTTCCACCTAAAAAGTAAAGATCCTACACCCAAAGCCCTTATATAAGTAGAACACTCACACAGACATCCACTAAACACCACTGAAGGTATTACCTAGCCTGGTAACGAAATGTTCAGAAAACAACTCTCAAGCTCAGAGAATGAACTTTCATCCTCAAAGATCAATATCTCCTATACCAGTGATGGCGAACCTTTTAGAGTGACCAAACTGCAACCCTAAACCCACTTATTTATGGCCGGGTGCCAGGTAGGTGTGACCCACTGGGTGGGTGTGGCTGTGGTGGTCATGGCAGATTGAGTGGGTATGCCAAGGTGGGCATGATCACCTCGATGTTGCTCATGGGGAGGGATGCCTGTGGGGGCCGGGAAGGGTTGGGGGAGATCCAGGGGGTCTCTGACAGGTGGAATGGGGGCAGGAGGCTCGTCCTGCGGCGTGAGGTGAGGCAAGGCAAGGCAGGCCGAGGGTGCCATTGTCACAGGGAAAAGGGAGGCAGGGGCCGGGGTGGCTGCTGCCTGACACCATTGGCCCTTGCACACAGTGGCCAGCGAGTGCATGGGTGCTGGGATGCATCCGGCCATGTGGGACCTCGGTGAGTTAGCGGGTAGCTGGTTGAAGAGGGACAGTTGCCTTCTCTAGGGAATGGCGTGCGTGCCCACAGAGAGGGCTCTGAGTGCCGTCTCTGGCACGCATGCCATAGGTTCACCACCACTGTCCTATACTTACATGTCACTCTCAAAAGAGACATTTCAATAATTTTTTGAAAGAACTCTTCGATTCTGTCAAAGTTTCACTCATGTTTTGCCTGATGAACAATGTTGTAAAGTTGTTTCAATTTTTTTTATATCAAAACAACTTACTTATAATGAGTAGCTAGGATAGCATTGAAATCTTTAAAAACCCATCTAGGAACTATTTGTGATACATAATCTTGCTTGTTAGGAAGTCTGGATTGAAGGTTTAGGTTGTCTAAGATATAACCTGCCATCGTCTATCTTTGGTTTTTCCTATCATGCCTGAAATACTTTTTTTTTAACAGACGCATTAGGATTTGTTTTCCTTGATTCTGTGCTGTTTTCAAAATTACAGTTTCTGATTTCTTCTCTTGTCATGTGCGTATTGTTGTATTTTTTAAGTGCATTGTTTTGAACAATAACAAAGTACCCAATAATTATTTGAGGAAGTTATTATCTATAGGACTTGGTATTGTTTTTAAAAGGCAGTCCTAAAACATGGAAATAGAGACAAGACCAAAACATCGGTTTGACTGAATGTACATTTTTTCCTGCTTTTGAGAAAAGTAGAATGACATGGGACTCACACATTCCTCCTCCTATTTTCCTCACAACAACAATCTGTGGGATGCATTGGGTTGAGAGAGAGACAGAGTGATTGGTCCAAAGTCATCCAGCTGGCTTTCATGTCTAAGGTAGAATTTGAACTTATTGTCTCCTACTTTCTCGCCTGATGCTTTAATCACTAGACCACAGGTCGGCAACCTGCAGCTCTGGAGCCGCATGCGGCTATTTGAGCCTTCCCCTGCGGCTCCCAGCCTCCTCTGCCTTTGCAGAGAGAGACAGAGACAGAGAGAGGAATTGCGCTTCCCTGCTTCTCTCTCTCTCTCTCTCTCTCTCTCTCTCTCTCTCTCTCTCTCTCTCTCTCTCTCTCTCTCTGTGTTTTTTTTTGTGTGTGTATGTGTGTATATATAAAAAAGGGAGTGCACTCACAGTGTTCTCCGAGGAGCTGAAAAGCTTACTGGGCGGAGCTCTTCCCTTTGCTGCGTCTCTGCAGGAAGCAGGAAGGGCAGGAGGGAGCTAGCTAGCCCAGCTAGGCTGACTCAGGAATTCTGGGAGTTCAAGTCCATGAGTCATAAAAGAGACGAGGTTGACAACCCCTGATCTTGTTGGACAACAGCCTGAAGCTTGTCAGGTGAGCAGCAGATAGGAGAGGGGGGAGAGAGAGAGAGAGAGAGGAAAGAGAGAGAGAGAAAGAAAGAGAGCGGGGGAAGAGGAGTGGCAGACCAAGGGCAGATAGAGAGGGAGAGAGAGAGAGACCCTTTTGACATCTAAAATGAAGATAACACTGCATATATCCTTTTTTTACCTCTGTGTGTGTGTGTGTGTGTGTATGTATATATATATACATACATACATATATATATATATATATATATATATATATATATATATATATATATATATATATATATATATATATGTAGGTCTTTGGTTGTTTCGGGTTTTCTCCCACGTAAAATTGGAAGTGTCTTGGCGACGTTTCGACGAAGTCCCATTCGTCATCTTCAGGCTGGTGCTTTCAGCTTCGTGCCTCGAGCAGCAGTGTGTGGTCTTGGCTGTTTCTTCCTTTTTTTTTTTTTTTTTTCTTCCTTAAGCTGAGAGAACATTCATGTAAATTTGATGTATATCTGACATGATGGAGAAATAACTATTTGTGTTAAGCTGTTTATTGGCAACTTTAAGACATGTGGACTTCAAATTCCCAAGATCCACATGTCTTAAAAGTTGCCAAATTTGAGAAACACTGATTTAACTGATGCCTAAATATTAAGTAATGATAACTTTTGAGTCAGGCCCTCCTGAAAATTGTAAGGAACTGGCATATAAGAGAATACAAGCCAGATAATATTCAGATATTTTGGACAGAAGCATTATTAGCTAAATACAATAATCAAAAGAGAGTGGCTTAATATCTGCTGTGTTTAAATGAGCTAATGTGATTATTATTAATGACTGTAACCCTAGGAATGCTTACAAAGAAGTACAATTTATTGAACTTAATGGTTCTTGCTTCAGAGTACCGAATATTGCTGAATATCTGTAATTCTGTCATAAATGTGCCTACTAGAGAGCCATGTTTCTCTTACTTCTCAGGAATTTTGAGTAAACACCTATTCAGGAATATTCAAAAGTGAATGGTCTTGAAATACTTTCCTGATCTACATCCCTTTAAAGATGAGCTGTTGCAATTATCCTGGAAACCAGCTTTGGCAGGAAAGCTTTATTTATGCATTTATTTAAAATATATTATTTGTATGGTTATCCAACTCTAGACCGTCATTATTTGGTTAAAAACATAGACACAGAAATACAAAGAACATGAAACACAACAGTACAGGATAATTCAGATCAAACCATAGCATACCATATTTTAATTAATAGTCATTCCAGAATGGGCTTATCCCGTGCACAAAGAAGAAATCAAGTTCTCAAGGCCTTGTAGAAACCAACGTAGAAATGCTCTTCCATATAGGAGTTACCATTATAGAAATTACACACTTCTTAGGTCCTTGGTATACATGAATGTGTAAAGCTAGAGGGTGCTTGGTTAACAATAATCTATTGATTATTCCAATATCTGTAACCATTTAATATGTTTCAGTATATGCAGAAAGTGGATGAAGTTACACAATTATAGCTGAAATGAAACTACTTTGTTATCACTATAATCTTGACATGATATTCCAATTATATCTTTAAAGTATGTGAATACACATGGCATAATGTACAGTATATGGAGTAAAGTTACAGTCTTTCCCTATAAATACTGTTTTTCGGTTGTCATTAACTATTTTATGTGATATATGAAGTGACATGATCTATATTCATTATTCATCACAATTTTAAACTGACTGAACAAATTCCCAATTTCTTCTATTACATTCTGGACTTTAATGATTCAGTAATCAGTGACCCAAACATCGCATTATAAAATAATTGTCCTAGTGAACAATCACTTAAATATGAGCCAGCAGGGTACTGGCTCATATTTAAGTGATTGGCAGCTGCCAAAAAAGTCAACACAGTGCTGGGCTGCATTAACAGAGGGATAGAATCAAGATCATGTGAAGTATTAATACCACTTTACAATGCTTTGGTAAGGCCACACTTGGAATACTGTATCCAGTTTTGGTCACCACAATGTAAAAAAGATGTTGAGACTCTAGAAAGAGAAAAGCAATAAAGATTCTTAGGGGACCGGAGGCTAAAACATATAAGGAACGGTTGCTGGAATTGGGTATGTCTAGTTTAACAAAGAGAAGGACAAGGGAGGACAGGTTGGCAGTGTTCCAATATCTCAGGGGCTGCCACAAAGAAGAGGGAGTCAAGCTATTTTCCAGAGCGCCTGAAGGCAGGACAAGAAGCAACCGATGGAAACTAAGGAGAAAGAGAGAAGCAACCTAGAACTAAGGAGAAACTTTCTGACCAGTGGACAACCTGCCTCCAGAAGTGGTATATGCTCCAACACTGGAAGTTTTTAAGAAGAGACTGGACAGCCATTTGTCCGAAATGTATAGGTTTCCTGCCTGACCTCCAGGGTCCCTTCCAACTTTATTATTATTATTATGGATCATCGCACAGTCAGCCAGATGTTCAGACTGGATTTGGCATTTTGTCTATCTATCGAGTCCTTACCAAGGACCTGGGATAGGCAGATATGGATGTTTGATGGTATTACAGGTATCGTCGCAGGATGGAAGCAGTTCCTAGTAAGGCCACCTTTTGCAATTGACTAATGGCAAATTTGTCAATGCCAATGGTGTTCAAGTGGTGCTCCAGTTGTTTTGGGATTGCACCCAAGGAGCCTATTACTGTTGGTACTACCCTTGCTTGCTTTTGCCACAGTCTTTCTATTTCTATTTGAAGGTCTTTGTATTTTGTTATCTTCTCCAGTTCTTTCTCATCTATTCTGCTGTCTCCAAATTATTATTATTATTGTTGTTGTTGTTGTTATCTACTTCCTACCCATCTAATCATAGTTAATCTTTTGGTATTATATGCCAAACAATAATATATACCCTATTCTTGGTTTGTTGCTGTGTATATATTTATTCATCACTATAAAAAAATCATTCAAATTTTTAGATAATATTCTTATAAAAATAGAAACTTTACAAATAAGGCAAAATTTGGAATAAAATAGATTTTTTGGATTTCCTATTTCTTGCAGAATATTAGTCCTTAAAATGTACTGCATATTTATATTATACTGAGACATTAACCCTAATTTGGAAACTGTATGGTAATATATATACATCATGTATGTGAGGATTTTGTTGATCATTTCATTACCCAGAACAGCTCCATTGCTTATAGATGGAATGGAGAACATGTACGGTAGTATTTTTAATGCTGTGGGATTTCAACTTCCCTAAGTAATCATGGATAATTGTACTGTAAATTCAGGTTTTCCATTTTAGCTCCTGACTTTATAATGGAAATGGATTAGGAAACTCAAGAAGCAAAACTATAGAAATAACTTTAGATTATTATCTATTTTTACCCAGTGAAATTAGCTATGCTGACTAGTTCACCTGACATATCCCTAAATCTAATCTTTGAAATGATACATTGGCCTGACCTGGGGCTTTATTAATGATTACTTTAAATCCCAATAATTGCAAAGTCAGAACAGAGGATGGTGGGAGCACAAATGCAGTTTGGCAATGTAGCACATCTTCTTGAATGTTTGCATGTTACTTATTAAATTAATCATTTATATGTTGTCATTTAAGACTAGGTTCTCACAAAAATGACTTATATAATAAGATTAATACATCAGCTCCTATGCTGATTGTAATGTTTTTGATAGAAACTCTGCTTATAAAGAACAATATACTTTTTCTATTTATTTATAGAAATATATTTGCATAACTTTATAGATTTTAGGGGAAATATGACATTTATTTATTCAATTTCCAATATCTATATTTTGGATATTCCCACTAAAACTAATTTGTTTTTGTCCCCCACCCCAACTCCCTCAAAAAAACCCGTAAGACTGGGAAGCTCGGATAGACAGTCATGGACGAGTATTTTATGTGGATCATGTAAATCGAACCACAACTTGGCAACGGCCTACAGCTGCAGCTACTCCTGACGGAATACGCAGATCTGGATCAATTCAACAAATGGAGCAACTCAATCGGCGGTAAGTTTTTGGGCCAAAATATAATAGGCAAAAAAGCACAAAAAGCATATATTTTCACAATCCCATGCCTTAGCAGACAGTAACTCAAAGATGACATACATACTATATTTGCCCAGTAAGGCTCATTAAACATACATTGCTATAACTGAAGAGATTATATAATATATAATACTGTGTCTGTGTATTAAAATGATTTTATAAAATGTATAAAATGTTCTTTAGTTCAATGTATTTGAATCAAAGTTTAATCAGTGACTCTATTTAGCAGACACTTTGCATTTATTTTGCCCCAACATAAATGTATTTGCCCAAGGTTAGTCACAGAGTGCAAAAGTAAATGCCGCATGGTTACAATATATATTGTATATATAGTAGCGTTCCAAAAAACAACTTCATTTCAAATGGTCCTTTTTGAATATCTTAACACACTTCTCATTTATGCAGACTGGAATCTAGATTGGATTCTAGCCAAAAAATGCCAAGTAACTTATAAAATTATTTTAAAAATTGAATGTTATGTTTTAATAAAAAAATGAAGTGTAGCTTGCAGCTTTACCAAACATCTAAATTAATTAAAAATTGTTCATTAGAAAAGGTTATACCCTTCTATCCAATTAGGGCAAATATTCAAGCGTATTAAAATCCCCCTGGCTCAAATTAATAAATTCATGTAAATAGGTACATTTTACTTTTATCTGCCTAATTAACACAAAATAAAATGGACTTATACTTCCTGTGCTATGGAAACCACAGTTCAAATAAGAAAGATATTGAACTTTAATAAAATATTAATATAATAAAATATCAATTTATTTATTTTTAATATAGCAATAGCACTTAAACTTACATATCACTTCACAGTGCTTTACAGCCCTCTTTAAGCAGTTTACAGAGTCAGCATACTTTCTCCCAACGATCTAGGTGCTCATTTTACCAACATCAGAAGGATGGAAGGCTGAGTCAACCTTGAGCTGGTGAGGATAGAACTCCTGGCATTCAGCAGAATAGCCAGCAATACTGCATTCTAACCACAGCTCTTGTTATATATAATTTTTATTGAACAAATTTTATTGAACAAAAAAAGCAGTATAAATATTAGAATAGAAACAAAGTAAATAAAAAGAATGTGAATAAGTAAGAAAGAAACCAGAAACTGAAAAGATTATAAAGGAGCTGCTTCCAATCTTTTTAACAGCAACTATAAATGCATGAATAATTTAACCTCACATTCAAAGATTACATTTTTTAAAATCTAATTTTAAATGAAGAAAATTTTAACAAGAAAAAAAGCATGTGTATTGTGATCACTAAGTGCAGATGAAATCTGAGCGCTGTATAAAATTAACAAATTAATATCAGATAACCAAGGAACAAATCTATACAATGAACAAGTCTCACATGACTTACGACCACAATTGAGCCAAAAATTTCTGTTACTAAACGAGATAGTTAAGTGGTTTTTTTCCCCATTTTATGATCTTTTTTATCACAGTTGCTAAGTGAATCACTACAGTTGTTAAATTAGTAACATGGGTTGTTATATGAATCTGGCTTCTCCATTGACTTTCTTTGTCAGATGGTTGCAAAAGGTGATCACATGACCCCGGAACATTGCAGCTGTCATAAATATGAACCAGTTGCCAAGCATCCAAATTTTGATCACATGACCATGTGGATGCTACAACAATCATACATGTGAAAACTGTCTTTTTTTTAAGTGCTGTTGTAACTTTGAGCAGTCACCAAAAGAACTATTGTAAGTCAAGGACTTATAATAAGATATTTAAGTAAAGTACATTTCGGCAATGTACTTGCTAAAGCAGGCATGTCAAACTGCTGGCCCGCGGACCAGATGCGTCACTCCGAAACTGCGCCCACCCCATTGCCGGCAATGGGGAAAAAGTCCCAATAGTCACGTGACATCATGTGACATCGTGAGTTTGACATTCCTGTACTAAAGGGATTTAGTTGTTAAAAGGCAGCAAGTAACAAAATTCCCCAGACTAAACATTTTATTTACTTTAAATGTTCCATGCATTCTTTTGATGGGCACAAATTAAATGCAGATGGAAGGCTTTAAGAAGGCATTTTTATTACTTATCATAGTCCCATGGAAGTTACATAAATTCAGACATCTGTGAGTCTTATAACATTATTCTCTGTAAAAAATCTGAACGAGACTATCTGAGTCTTCAGCCTATATCTTTCTGGTGTCTATGTTCTGATACTAGTCTTTTCTAGCCAAGTATTGTAAGATTCAAAACAGTAATATGTTACAACAGTAGTATAGAATTTGCAGACTTCTTGGGTAAATGCTAGAACACAATAGCTGATTTTAATTTACTCTCAACTTATATTTTTAAATGTGGTCTACCTGAATTTTTAACTATTAAAACTAAACAAGTTACATAAACTCTTAAGAGCAATTTGGCATGACCTGCTGAACCTTATTTGATTTTTTATTATTTGCCATCAAAGAATGGTCCCCAAATAACCCTTTCAGATCTTCCAATACTTCACACATCATTGCTGTAATCAATTCCATCCATCTTGATCTAGTTATCCTTTTCTCTTTCTCACCATTGCTGATATCTACAGTGAGCTAGATTTTTACATAATCTGTCTGATTAATTGAGCATAATTGATTTGATTACTCATCTGTTTTATTCTTTTGGTGATCTGTGATATTTTCAGGAATATTCTCCAGTGCTAAATTTGAAAGTGGCAATGCTTTTTCAATCTCTTTACAGATTCCACAGGGGTTTATTAAAACAAGCCATGTTTGCTTGCTTAAAGAAAGCTTTTTGTCTCACCCTTGCATTAGTTATGCATTCAGGATGACTTATTCAATGTAAAATCATTATGTGTGTGTATGTACAAATGAAATAAAATTATAGGCTATGCCCACAGGTCTGTATAGCAAAACCTTCCTGAGTTAAAGAAATAGCATGGAAGATGGCATTGAACAATACAGTACCTTAAACAATATGTACAGTAAATTTAATGGGCTAGAACAGCAATAGTGCATCTCAAAATATTTTTTCATGAGGCAACTGGACTTTCTTGTTTTTCTTTGAAGATGTTTTCTTTCTCATCCAAGAAGCTTCTTCAGTGATGACCGGATGGTGGGGAATGGAAGAAAGAATGCAAATGGCCAGCTGTCTGCAAGGAGTATAAATCCTTCCATTCATCACCTGTTCAGAGCTGAAGAAGCTTCTTTGATGGGAAGTGAAACATCTTTAAAGAAAAACAAGAAAGTCCAATTGCCTTACGGGACAAAGTTGTCCTTTGGGACAACTATGATCTGGATGACTAAGAATCTCCATAGACATTTAGCAATAGTGCATGTTTTCCCTTAGTATTTTATCCCTTGGATGGGGGTTGTTCCTCCCAAAATATTACTTTCTTTCTGAAAAATGAAATGGGGCAAATTATCCTCAGCCTTGGCTTTATATTCAATTATACAAAAAATCCTTGTTCGATATAGTTAACTTGAAATTAATAAGGCAGTTTAAATGATCAGACACATTTTTAAATTATTCTTTTATATTATTCTTTTTAATTATGGTTTTATGTTTAATTTGAATTCTATGTTTTTTTATGTTACTGGATGTATTTAAACAAAAAGGCAGTAATTTCACGTGATCTAAAATTTTCAGTCCAGCTGAATTTTAACAGTAGACACACAGACTCATTGGAAGATTTCTTTTCCTAATTTCAGATATGTAGATGATTAATATATTTCTATTTCTTTTCTTTGCCAAAATCAAGATATCAGAATATACAGCGAACTATTGCTACAGACAGAACAGAAGAGGACACTGTTGTCAGCAGTCATGTGGAAAGACTCCCAGGTCCTGGAGGAGGCAGTGATTCCGAAGCATACCCTTCCCAGGCAAATACAGGTAAGGCATTTTCTGTGGTTAAATGGTATTCTTCACTTTGCATAAAAATATAATATTTTTTATTTAAAATGGATAATTAAATCATCCATTTAAGAGAGAAAAGAGCAACTTGGAGCAAAGTAAGCTTACATTCTTAGCAGTAACTCTATCATTTCAAATTGCAAGTGAGGGAATTCCAAGGAAATTATCATAATTATGGAAATCATTTCTAAATAGACATAGACCCAGTTTAAAAGTGTAATTGCATGTTAGAAAATTGAAAAGTGTATCAACAGGCACTAGAGCCCTACTGCAGAAACACTTTATATGTAATGAAAAGCTTGGGTTTTGTGTTTTAGGATGTTAGTTCCTCAAAGAGTGTACTCATTACATCTCTGTTTACCATGCAGCATATTGTGTCTGCATTTATTGCAAAAACATGGATAAATTCTTGTATCTTCAATATATTTTGTAACCAAGCAGACATCATATGTTTATGTGAGTGTCCAACAAACTTGTATTGCTTTTTTGGAAAAAAAAAAAGAGTTCTGTAGTTGATAAATATTTTTCAGTTCAGGAGGAGATGGTCCATATGTGTAATTAGTCTCACATAACAAACTCAGATTATTCTCAAGTGAATAATACCTAATAATGGTCTGCAAATACCTAATAATGGTCTGCAAATTCTAGTAATAAGTCAAGAAGCAGAGTGAAAAAAATAGGACTAAGGTTAAATATACAGAAGATCTGTATATATAGGAAATAGCCTTAAAATTAATAAGGAAGATACTGAAGTTCCTTTTAAGATCAACCATCAACCCATAGACTAATGCAGACTAATAGCTGTTAGAAGAACAATAGTCTTGAAAAAGATATTCAATATGCAGGCTGTATGTATACCTACAAAGTTCCAAATCATGTAGGCAATTATTTTCCCTGTGACACACTATGGAACTTGGTTTTGAAAAAACAGGCTATAGCAATAGCACTTAGAGTTATATATCACTTCATAGTGCTTTAAAGCCCTCTCTAAGTGATTTACAGAGTCAGCATATTACCCCCAACAATCTGGGTCCCCATGTTACTGACTCAGAAGGATGGAAGGCTGAGTCAACCTTGAGCCGATGAGAATCAAACTCCTGGCAGTGAGCTGAATTAGCCTGCAATGCTGCATTCTAACTATTGCTGACTATGGCTCCTATAATGAGATCTTTTAAAATTTGATGTTGGAAAAGGCTTTTGAGAATATCATGGATAGTAAAAAACAAAAACAAACAAACAAAGGCATCGTTCAAAAAATCAAGCCAAAGTTCCTCTTGAGATACACTTTACCAAGATCAAATTATCATATTTCGAACACTGTGCAAAGATCTATTTTTATGGATACATCTATAATGCTGAAGGAAAGAGAATAAGAGAACAACAAGCAGCAAAGTAGATGTATTCAAGTGCACCTGAAATTGCTGCACTATGGGAAGACAGATTGTCTTGGGAAAATCTGTATCTACAGTTGGTCACTACAAATTAGCACTACAAAAATCTGTATCTACAGTTGGTCACTACAAATTAGCAGTGACTTAATGACATATGATGTGGCCTATAGAATTACCAAGAGTCAGACATTACTTAATAAATGACATCATCATGGTACATAATACATTTTAAAAATGTATTTTTAATCTATAATTTCTAAATATATCAACAAATCTCTGAAATGTTTTTAGTGAACTTTTACATATCTTTAATATTACGGAATGGAAATAACCATTGGTGCAGGGTTAAAATTGTGGATAATATTATCCAAAAAGATCAATCATCTTTTCATTTTGCCCATATTGATTGACTAAGTGTTCAATAGAGTTTTTTAAAAAAGCTTGTTAGAAATATAAATTAGAGACTCAAGTCATGATAGTTTCCAGATATTTGTATACATTTTATCCTGTTAATCTTCTATCAATTAATTAAACACTGTTAACCTTTAACAGTCGTTGGTTAAAAAAAATAATCAATTTGTTGTTACATTGAAAATTATTTTTTAAAGCTGAAAAGTTAGTATAAAACTAACCCAAACCCTAACTATTGGAAAAGAGTGTTAATAATGAACATTTTAACCAATATATTGGGGAAAAGCAAAATGATTATGCATGAAATCATTCAGGAAAATAAGAGAGAGCGAAAGATATGAAGACTGGAATGATACAAATACTTTTTTATTATAATTTATACATTTACCATTTTGTTTCAGAAATTAGAAGAGAAATATCTGTTTCACCTGTGAATTCTCAAAAAATCACTTTATTGCTGCAGTCACCAGCTGTAAAGTTCATTACCAATCCTGAATTTTTCACAGTGCTGCATTCAAATTATGTAAGTATTTGATTCTCTGCTATACAGGTTGGTGACTTACTTTAGCGATATTTTTTGGGGAGTGTTTCATTTCTCACATGTATCATTCTTACTCAAGCAAATGATTTATGAAAGGGCGATGTCTCTTAGATTATATGTTCTATGTATGTATTCATGCCTATAGAACAGGTCCATGGACTGGCACTGGTCCGCAGCATGTCAGAACTGGACCACAAAAAAAAGCAAAGCCCCATCTGTGGGATGCAGGCAGTACGAAAAACCACACGCCCTCTGGTCTGCGGAAAAACCTTTCTCCATGGCACCGGTCCCTGCTATAGGAGATTTAAATTACACATGTACAAATGTAAACTAAATAAATTATTCAAACAAAGGGTCTAGAGGCAGGTCTAGGTATTCTGAAACTCAATAAACAAAACAAGAAACTCCATCCAAAAGAAGAAAAGTGTATCCAAATTGAACACTATAAGGAACAAACAACTATCAGAAGAAATAAATCTTTAGCTGAAGCTTTAGAGATAGACAACTGGTAGCATGCCACTCATAGAAAAAAATAAAGAAAGAACAATAGCCATGTTGTTTAGTGCAGGGCTTTTCAACCAGTGGTACGCGTACCACTTATGGTATATTAACAAGTGACAGGTGGTAGTAGCCCTGCTAGCCAAGTGTAGTGGGGTAGAGAAAGAGCCAACACAGGCAAGGACTTACTTGAGTAAGGACTCCAGAGAGTCCTCTGGAGCTGCAGAATGGCTGAAGCTGAGCCTCACCCCAGGCTCACTTCTGGCTCACCCTTTCCCATGAGAAAGGAGGAAGAGGGGGCCAGAGACAGGAGAAGTTATAAAAGGAGGAAGTTTGGGCGGGAGAAGGGAAAAAAAAGAAGCAGCCTCGGGAGGATGTGGAGTCAGCTCTAGCTGCATCAAAGGGGAAGGAGGAGGGTGGGGGGGAGAGGAGATCAAGGAGTCCAAGCAGGCTGGCCATGAGCCAGTCTATAACTTCTATGACAGCCACCTGTGCTGGCAGCATCAAACAGGCAAGAAATGCAGCAGGGGAGGGGTTGCCCTCCAGGAGGAATGAAGAAAGGTAGCATCAGCTGAAGGTAAGACACAGAGGGAGGGAGGAAGATGGAGAGTGGAAGGATTCTTATGTGCTTTTGTGACTTTGAAGTTCTGGGATTTGTGCAATGTGGGCTTTGTGTTCTTAAGGAGTGCTTGGCAATTTCTATTTGGCTGATGGCTGATGTCTCCTGTTAGCTTTTATTGTTCTGCTATTGTTAGCTGTAAGTTTTGCTGCAAGGGATTTTGAAGTATTTTTCTCCTGAATGGATTTTACCTGTAGCATTCCTTTACTTATGGAGCCATTTGGGGAGGCTGCCTTAGCCGGCAGCCAATACTTACTACATTTTTTTTCTTCCTTAAGTGCCGGCTGCACTCATTAACTTTTCTTTCTAGCCAGTAGCTAATTCCTAAAGGGGAATGTGCCCTTTTAAGCTAGTTTCCTCATCAGCTTCACTTTTCTGTCTCTGGAGGCTTTTCCTTGTTTGATGAATATATGGAAGAGGGAAAATATGGGGGGGGTTCAAATTCTTCCTTTAGAAGGAGTGGGCATGAGAAAGAGGGAGGCAGGGAAGGAGGAAGGGAGGGAGGGAAGGAAGGAAGTCCCACCTTGGCTACTAGCAGCCCTGCCATTGACTTTGCTTGTCAAAAGGTTGCAAAAAGAGATCATATGACCCTGGAACACTGTAATCATCATATATGTGAATCAGTTGCCAAGCATCCAAATATAAATCACATAATCCTGGGCATGCTGCAATGGTCATAAGTGTGAAAATGGTCATAAGTCATTTCAGTGCAATTGCAACTTTGAACAGGTTTTTTGTTTGGTTTTTTTGGTCATCAAGTTTTTGACACCTTGCTAGGTGGTCCTTGAATATTACTTTCATTTTTTTAAAGTTTTTATTTTTCATTTATCAATTACATAAACAAAAAAGAAAAAATTTCACATTTGACAAAATAAAATAAATACACCTAGGTATTGCTTGCCCACCCCCCCAAACTGCATCCGCCCTCTCTAACACTCTCCCTTACTTCCCTCCTCTTTCTCCCCTCCCCCTCTCCTCTCACCATCCTACTTCCTCCCTAACCTTTCTCCTCCACTCTCATCCCTCTTCGGATACAGTGCTGGGGAAATGCCCAAGCAACATCTCTCTCATAAGTTGTCCCATCTATTATCTTACTTTAATCCTATTGTCTAACCTACTTTCCCACCCACCCCCAACCCCCACTCCCCCCACTCCCCAGAACACCCACCCACCCCCAACCCCCCTCCCCCCACTTCCCAGAGCTTGGCACAGGGTTTTCAAACATATTAAACAAAATCTACTTAACTTTAACTAATACAAACTGAATCTAACTAAACCTATCCAACTATACAAATAACAAAATCAATAACTTACTTTAACTCAGATACGAAACAAATTTAAACAACAAATTCAAACAAATTAAAAATTTAAACCAAAAATTATTCATAATCAACTATAAAAATCAAATACAAAGCAAATTAAACAATTCCAAATTTAAACCAAAAATTATTCATAATCAAAACGATACTTTTAATCATATCTACTCTAATCATAATTTATCCATCAAATCCCATATTTATTCTTCATATAATTTATCCACCTTCTCCACCCCGAGATGTATATTTCTTTTAAACAATATAAACTTGGCTCTTAACTCTTTCCCCCCCAGACCCAAGTAAATTTATTAATCATAAATTTAACCTTTTCTCCTAAATCAAAACCTATCAACTTCTTGTACACTTTTAATATATCATAATATATTGTAATTATCTTTATACGTTTATTAAACATTATAATAAATACTCCCAAATATTAAATCGCTAAATTAAAACCTATCAAGTCTTCTCCCAAACAGAGATCATAATTTTAAATTTTTAAACTTTTTCCCCTAAATAACAAAGATTTAACAAAACTCTTTATAATTTCCCCCCCCCCCTCCCCAAAAAAGCTAGCTAGCCGGCTGATATTCCAACTTTTCCTTCTATTGTCTAGCGCGTAGAAAATGGCGGAGAACCTTCCTTTATTTTACTTCTGAAAGCTGCACGAGTCATACTCAATTTCTTTAATGAATCTTCTGTTAAGGAGGACTGCTGCAAAAGTTCAACCTGCATATCTTCTTCAATCGGTTGCTCTTCCAACTTTTCTTCTGATGTCTCAGCTGTGGGTAATAAAGAGCCCGCCTTCAAAACAAAAGTGTAAAAATCTTTCACTTTTGAAATTGTATCAAGTCTATAATGTATCCCCGCATAATTCACCGCTATTCCAACCGGTATTTCCCATCTGAACCGGACCTGTCACCTCTTAAGCTCATCAGCCAGAAAAACAAAATACTTTCTTACTTTAAGAAGTAAGGTGGTCCTTGAATATTGCCATAGCCTAAAAGTAGTACAGTCAGTGAAAAGGTTGAAAAGCCCTGGTTTAGTGCAGTCCAATCCAATACAGCCCAGCTGAAGCTGAGCAATTGAGTTCATATCCTCACCCTGGAAGAAAGCATGCAGACATCTGGAGAAGGGACCTTATCAAATGTTCCAGTGACACAAAACCCAGATTTCCCCAAGAAAAAAAGATGTGTATTTGAGGTAGATTTATTTTTCAGAGAAACAGAATCAATTAATAGACCAGAAAATCACTCTAGGGAGATATGTTGTTTCCCAAGATCAAAGATGTGACTAAGAACCTTACTAAAATAATGAAGTCCACAGATTATTAACCTTTTCTCCTCTTTCATATGGGGATGAATGATATGACAAAGAACTTGAAAACAATATTATGAGACTATGAGCAGCTTGGCATGAAAGCCAAAGAGTTAGGAACACAGGTGTGTGTGTGTGTGTGTGTGTGTGTGTGTGTGTGTGTGTGTGTGTGTGTGTGTGGTTGTTTCTATCTGTACTAACGAAAAGTCAACATCCAATGAGGGAATCGGGAATTTTAGAAGTAAACCACTAGCTTAAGGGGTGGTGCCGTTGAGAGAACTTCAGATTCACATCTACATTATTTACAACTTCTGTTAGGGATGGGCTGCACCTCACAAGAACCAGGAAGAATCTGTTTCAAAAATGATTGGTTTAGCTTATCCAAAGGGCTTTAATCTAAAACTGAAGGAGAAGAATAACCAAGCATAAACCCCAAGACAGCCAATTAGGAAGTGATGGGAAGGAAGGGGAATTCACATACAAAACAGGAGATGTAAAAAGCAAATGCAGGGTCAACAATAAAGGACTCAAATGCCTATACACTATTGCTTAAAGTTTAAGAAGCAAACAGAGTGAACTTGTACATGAGGGCAGTTATAATATAGTTATCATTACTGAAACTTGGTGGAATGAAGTACTGGAAGGATATAAACTGTTCAAAAGAAACAGACCTAACAAAAGAGGACATGGAGTTCCATCCAACTCCTCTTTTGTTAGGTCTTAATTTTTTTACTTGCATAAGAAATCACTACACCTCTACAAAAATTCTTAAAACCAAGAATGAAAGCCTCCTTGGATGCATATGGGTTTATATAAAAGGGGGAAAATGGCATTGCTATAAGTATATACCAGAGGCCACTCAAACAAACAGAGCAAATGCTAATCAGTTAGCTGCAGTGTGCATGAAGCACACCAAAATAGTAATGGGAGACTTTAACTATCCTGACATCAGCTGGGAGACAAACAAAGAATTGAGTTGTTTTGTTTCAAAGTTCAGTTGGCACATTCTAACTAACCTTTCCTTCACTTTACCTTCAATTGTGTGAAGGGTATTTTTAAAGGTATTTTGTAAGTTCGTGACAAGTCACTATGCTGAGAAGTGTCAGATTGTCTGCCCTTGGTATTATAAGCATTGCAGGGATAAAATGACTGGAGTGGGTTAGGTTCATCACTATCTGGGTTTTTTCACCTGAATTAGCCACACTAGAAAGTTGCAACAATCCAGAAAAATA